AGGGGAGGGAGAGGGGGAGGGAGAGGGGGAGGGAGGGAGGCGATGCCGAGAGCCAGCGAGCGGGCGAGTGTGGAGGGCTCGGGGAGTGAGCTGCTGGTGGGCGCTATGCGCCAGGACAAGTCGCGTCTGGCCCAGTTCGTGCTGGAGGCCCTGGACCTTCGGGTGGTCAACGCGAGGACCGAGTGCGGTTGGACCCCCCTGATCCACGCCTCTCTCCTCCCGGACCCCGGCCAGAGGTGCCGCTACGTCCGGCTGCTGCTGGAGAAAGGGGGCGACGTGAACGGCGCGGACAGGGACGGGCGCACGGCTTTGAGCCACTCCTGCCAGGCCGGGCACGGCGAGGTGGTCAAGCTGCTGGTCAAGGCCAACGCAGACCCCCAGATCCCCGACGCCTGGGGCAACGACGCCCTGATCTACTCGGCCTTGGCCGGCCAGGGAGCCCTGGTGGACTTCCTAGTTCGCTCCTTCAGGAGGTTGGGTTTGGACGTGGCTCGCGCCAACCATCGAGGCATCTCGGCAATCGAGATCGCCAGGGACCTGGGCCACACGGCCTGCCTCCGAGCTCTCACCAAAGGAACCAGGAGAAGGTCCAGCCTCGAACCGGGCAACGGTGGACCTCTTGAGGACATCACACTTAAGGGGTACGAACAGAATCAGGGGCTGGAGAAATCCAAGGGTGGTGCTAAATTGGTGTCCACCAGCCATCAGATGGACAGTCAGCCCAAGAGATTGGCTTCCGAGCCTCTCAAGGAGATCCCGAAGCTCAACCTAGGCTTGGTTGCTCCTCAAAGAGCTCAATGTGTTTGTCAGGGCCTGATGGAGGAGGACGAGGGAGGGTCCTCAATGGTTCCCGAGAGACGGGAGATCCTGCCCTGCATCCCAGGAGGAGATCAAGACCCAAGGAACTTACCCAGTCGAGGTGGTTCCTCAGGAAGGAAGGACCTGATTCTTTGCCAACCGTCACCTCTCGACCTTCAGTCTCGCCAACCGTCTCGTGTGCCCGTCTGCAGAAGATCCTGAGAGAAGGTCCGAGGGTGATGGGCGATGGGTTGAAGCCAGGGAGCGCCAACGAATTTCCGTGCAAGACCACGACGAGGCTTGAAGGTTCCCTCGCCAACCTGGGGACCTCCCGGAGCCTTCTCCTGCTGCCCCCCAGGAACCCGGTCAAACCCTCTCACCCGAGAGCGAGCGAGGGAGCGAGCGAGAGGAGAGGAGCCTTCAACGGTTTCCGTTTCTTGCGCAGGTTCACATTCCCCGAAATCGTGGACACGTCTCGGAGCCGGGCCTCGGCCGGAGGCCGGGGGGGCGGTCGGGGGGAGGTGGAGGGGGGGGGATCGAACCCCGAGACGCTCCCGACCGGTCGGGCCAGTGTCCACAGCCTCAGCAACATCACCTGCGAGTTCCAGGTCAAGCAATCGGGGTGACTGCAACCCCCAAACCCGCTCAGGACCGAGTGAAACCGCCCCTGTTAATTGGCACGTCAGGAACAGGAGGAGGCCATTCAGCCCCCTCCAGCCTGTTCCAGCAGATGGCGGCTGATCTGCGCCTCGACTCCCAACGCCCCCCTCGATGACCCCGACCCTGGCCATAAGCCGAGGAACAGCCCAACACCCGGCGCCCGATCACGTCCTCGAGACCTCTCAGAGGATACACCGCAAAGTGTAGTGACTGTACGTTTTGCGGGCGAAACGCGGCAGCTGATTGCGACCGGCGACGTCCCCCACCAACGGCCGTGGGTCGAGGTCGGGGGGGGGGGGGGGGGGGGGCCTCTCTCTCTCTTAGAATGACTCAGCCCTCTATCCTTTGAGGAATGCAGTGGCGATAAGGTGTTCACTCTCTCTCTCTCTCTCTCTCGCTCTCTCGTTCGCTCGCTCTACGAGACGACTTACGATGATCTCACTCAAGCTTTATATCACAGGAAACACTATGACCGCACAATCAGGCACTCGATCACCCGCGTACCCTGCGATACAGCACGGCAGGTGTGTGTGTGTGTGTCTGCGTGTGCGCGCGTGTCTGTGTGTGTCTGTGTACGTCTGTGTGTGTGTTTGCGTGTGTTACATTGACAGAGACGCCGTTCCTCGAATGAGACAATAAACCTGACTCGCACCCAGTCTTTCTTTCTTTCTCTCTCACTCTCGGTCTCTCTCTCTCTCTCTCTCTCTCCCCCCAGTGTCCCAACCGACAATTCCCCCCCCCCCACCCCAATAAAATCCGTGGCTGTTTGCGGGACACTGCGTTTCGCCCGCCAAACACACAGTCACTACACTTTACAGCGTGTCCTGCGAAGCGCTTGGAGACGTCTCGACGACGGGATCAGGCGCCGGGTCACACCCCGGGGTTATAGTCTGATCTCATCCTTCTCCAATACCGTTAACTTTTCCCCCCCAACTGCCCCCCATCACAGCATCGATCTGCTTTTCAAAGGAGCCCCAGTTTCTGGGCCTGAACCCCTCGCCCTCCGCCCACTGACCCTAACCCTCACCCAAGTGGGTTCCTACTGACTGCTGAAAAACAGAGGCGTGTGTTGTTGGGGAATAAGGAAACTTGCCCTAAGGTTTCGCCCTGACCTGGTGAGGGGTCTAACCCCTGAGCTACAGGGGCTGTGGGGTGCGAGGGGAGGGGTCTAACCCCTGAGCTACAGGGGCTGTGGGGTGCGAGGGGAGGGGTCTAACCCTTACATTAACACGATTGCCCTTCGCACAGGATAGCGTATCAGAGCGCCTTCTGGGGTGAGGTGAGATGCTGAGCGGAGGAGAGGGGGGGGGGAGGGAGGGGGAGAGAGGGGGGGAGCAGGGGAGAGAGGGGGGGGGACGGGAGAGGGGGAGACCAAAGGTGCGGTCAAAGAGGTTGGGTTTCGATGTGGGATTTAAAGGCAGACGGGGGGAGTGCGGAGAGGAGAGGCGACAAAAAGGCAATCCACGGACTCACTCCGACTGAGACAGACAAAGACAGAGAGAGAGACAGAGAGAGAGACAGAGAGAGAGACAGAGAGAGAGGTAAATGGAAACAAGATGCAGACGCACCACAAACAGAGGCAGAGACTAAACAGTTTTGTCATCCAAACGTTGGCACGAACCGGGGTAAGACCGTCCATCAACACACGGACACGCACACGCAGACAGCCACACGCAGACACGCACACGCAAGCGAGAAGACTGACCGGAAATAGCTAAACCCTGTGGTAACAATAATAAATAACCGCGGACCGTGGGGTGTGACCCGGCGCCTGATCACGTCGTCGAGGCCTCTCGAAGCGCTTCGCGGGAATACGCCGTGAAGCGTAGTGACTGTGCCTGGTTTGCGGGGCGAAATGCGGCAGCCGATCGCGCCCGGTGACGTCCCCCCCCCCCCCCACAAACAGCCGGGGGTGGAAGTGACCGAATTGATCCATACATTCCTTGGAGCCAGTCCAGCTACGAGGAGGTCCCACTTACCAACTGAGCGATGGGTCGCCATTAGGAGCAGAGGCGACACACGGAAACTTGTTGGATAAATACAAGGAGACGCGAGTGCTGTGTTGATCACCTGCTGTAAATGGACAACGAGGCCCCAACAGAACAGGTCAAAGGCCCTGAAAGGAAATATTGGTCCGGATGACAAAATAAACATACCTTGAAGTCCTTATTGTGTAAACACTGGAGATTAACACTCGCTCTTACTTGAGAAACATCCGAAGAGTGGAGTCCCTCCCTGTAGCTCAGGGGTTAGACCCCTCGCCCCACCCCACAGCCCCTGTAGCTCAGGGGTTAGACCCCTCCCCCCCCACCCCACAGCCCCTGTAGCTCAGGGGTTAGACCCCTCCCCCCACCCCACAGCCCCTGTAGCTCAGGGGTTAGACCCCTCCCCCCACCCCACAGCCCCTGTAGCTCAGGGGTTAGACCCCTCCCCCCCACCCCACAGCCCCTGTAGCTCAGGGGTTAGACCCCTCGCCCTCCACCCCACAGCCCCTGTAGCTCAGGGGTTAGACCCCTCGCCCCGCACCCCACAGCCCCTGTAGCTCAGGGGTTAGACCCCTCGCCTCGCAAGCCAGAGGACCCGGGTTTGATTCCCGGGCGGGTCAGGTCGGGGCGAAACCTTAGGCAAGTTTCCTTACTCCCCCCCCCCCCCACCCCACACACACACACACACACACGCCTGTTCCCCGGCAGTCAGTAGGAACCCGCTTGTTAGTCGATTGGGGGATCACTTTTCCGGGGGTTAATAATCCCTTCATATAAAAAAACGGTAATAATAATATTATTAATAGTAATTCTCTCTACGTCACTTTCCAGGGTTAATAATCCCTTAAATTAATAATAATTTGGTCACTTCAATCCACGTCTGTTTGTGGGGACGTCGCTCGGCGCAATTGGGCTGCCGCGTTTCGCCCACAAAGCGCACAGTCACTGCACTTCACAGTGTACCCCGCGAAGCGCTCTGAGGCATCTGAACGATGTGTCCACGCGCGGGGTTAAAGGGAAGGATTGTATTGTTATTATTGCTGAAGCCCTTTTGGTTGCGTTATCGGGAGTTATGGTGCGGGTGTGAAACTGAAAGTACTGACTGCGCGTGTGTGTGTGTGTGTGTGTGTGTGGGGGGTGTGGGGTGTGTGTGGGGGGGTGGGGGGGTGTGTGGGGGGGTTGTGGGGGTGTGTGGTGGGGGGTTGGGTGGCGGTGTGTGTGGTGGGGGTGGGGTGTGTGGTGGGGGGTGTGGTGGGGGGGGGTTGGGTGGCGGGTGTGTGGTGGGGTGTGGGGTGTGGGTGGTGGTGGGTGGTGGGGGGTTGGGGTGTGTGGGGGGGGGTGGGGGTGGGTGTGGGTGGGGTGGGGGTGTGTGGGGGGGGGGTTGTTTGGGGGTGTTGGGGGGGGGGGTTGGGTGGCGGTGTGTGGTGGGGGGGGTTGGGTGGGGTGTGTGGTGGGGGGTGGGGGTGTGTGGGGGGTTGGTGGGGTGTGTGGTGGGGGTGGGGTTGTTTGGGTGTGTGGGGGGGGGGGTTGTGTGGGGGTGTGTGGTGGGGATTGTTTGGGGGTGTGTGGTGGGGGGGGTTGGGTGGGGGTGTGGTGGGGGGGGTTGGGTGGGGGTGTGGTGGGGGGGGTGGGGGGGTGTGTGGGGGGGGGGTTGGGTGGGGTGTGTGGTGGGGGTGGGGGTGTGGGTGTGTGGTGGGGGTGGGGGTTGGTGGCGGTGTGTGGGGGGGGGGTGGGGGCGAGAAACGGGGACAGTTGTAGGAAGCGAACAGAAGCAGAAGAGGTTGAAAGGCAGTCAGACAGACAGAGTGTCAGAGGGAGGGAGGGAGGGAGTTAGCGGGAGGGGAGGTGTTTCTGGCAGTAAAGGGAATCTCCTCAACCCAACAAGCCCTAACTTGTCAGACGGCTTCTGGTGACGCTGAGACGAGATACTGTGTGGTGTGTGACACTGACAGTCAAACCAGACAGAGTGAGCGGAGAGACAGACCACGACTCGACTCGACTCGACTTGACGTGACGTGACTTGACGTGACTGACTGCTGTGGGATCTGAGCTGTTCACAACACACCAACACCGCCACGGGGCAGAGCCGGAGCCGGAGCCGGACAGCGACGGAGACAGCGCCGGGACCCGGACACCGCGCCCGCGGGCACTTGGTGAGTCCTGGAGACCTCGGGCAAAAAAAAAACAGGTCTTTTCTTCCCCGCGAAGCAGACAAGAGGATTCCTTGAGGGTTTTGTCTGAAGCCGACGGAGCTGTTGCCGTCTGGGAAGGCACTGCCTGAAAGGCTGGAGGGAGCTGCTCTGATAAGAACTTTTCGAAAGGGAATTGCACGGGGACTCGGGGGAGGAGAGGCTCGCGAGACGTGGGGAGGGCAGGGGGGGCGGGGGGGGAGGGCAGGGGGGCGGGGGGTGAGGGCGGGGGGGCAGGAGGCGGGGCGGGGGGGGGGGGAGCGGGGGGGGGAGGGGTGGGGGGGAGGGCAGGGGGGCGGGGGGAGGGTAGGGGGCGGGGGGGGAGCAGGGGGGGAGGCAGGGGGGGGGGCAGGGGGGGGGCAGGGGCAGGGGGGTGGGGGGGGCGGGG